ACTCTTTATTCTGGATCTGCAAAATATACGAACATTTCCCGAAGAAACCAGGTAAGTATGGCTTTATTTCTTTGTGCTATAAATATCCATCAAGGCGATAAACTGTTTAGCGTTCATTCTGGAGGCAAGCAATGTGCTTTTATGAGTTTACGGCGCTTCTTACAGCCCGAAATAATTCCCATTCGCATTGTCCGCATGGTCGTTTCACTCGTTTGTAGAACATTTGATAATTTTATGTCATATTCAAGGAGACAAAATGTACTTATAAGGAGTTCTGAAGTACTATAATTCATGAATGTACTGGCAGTTTTAATAATAGCCCGCCTGATCTATTCGTCAATAATGCCTTTAATATATTTATACAAGGAGTCAAAATGCACTCAGTTTATTTGTTTGTTTATATCATTATATGTGCCAAGACGATGAGTATTGTGTTCACTTCTAGATGTTTATAGTTTAACAACAAACGCGGAATGTTGTTAAATCAGGCTTACTGTAATAAGATTCCTAGAGCAATCCAGTGTGGATTGTTGTCTGCACTTTAAATATTCACTTACCAGCAATTACATGTAATAGTATGACAACTGACTTTTGTATTTATACAAGATATGACTGCCTGTTTATATATACAATATATATCTTTGAGGCCTCTGAGATTATGTCCATTGTTAGCATAATATGAAATAATCCTACCGGCCTACATTCATATATTCATCTGGCTGTGTCACTACATTTCAGAGTGTATTTATATTTTTCGATAATGCTCACAATTAGAAATGTCAACAAATAGATCTTGTCTCCCCATCAGCATATTGTTCGGTTGTTCTGTAATATGGGCAGCCTTGAAGGTGGCATTAAAACAATAATTGGAACAAAACCTGACTTAGTATTTTCATATAAACATTGTACAGTATTCAGTGGCAAGCTAGCCATGGCAACTGGCCATGCTATGCTGATAAACCTGCATCTATAATTTTGAATAATGCAAATCATTAAAAACTTGCATAGCATGACCTGTTGCTATGGCTAACTTCACCATTGACAGTATTATAATTATACAAAAGCAAGAAGTTATAAGCATTGAAGATATTCATATAAAACTGCCCATGCCAAGAAAGTAGAATTAGACTAATTTTAGCCACCCTTCGACTTTGTGCAAGATGTTTGATATTCAAATTGCCCTTTTCCTACCTCCTGAACAGGCGTCTTAGGGGCTGTTTGCATGATGGAAGGAACAATGATTTTGATGTATTGAAATATCAGTCACTAGGCTAAATGAAAGTTCAAATGCTGGTTAGCAGAACTCAAATGTTGTAGAGAAGATCTTGTGGTTCAAGAAGATTATATTATGCTTGAACAGGCAACCTTTCTTTTACAGTTAACTATAGTCCATCTCTAGAAAATGGTGTAGTTTTTTGCTGAATCATGCACTGTGACGTATTTAAGTACATCAAAATCAGGGATGCCAGAACCACGGGTGCAAGTGCACCCCTTGCCTTTTGCATTTTCAACTTTGTGGGTGCAGTGCTGGTGCAGACTATGGGTGTAACGGGTGCACAAAACTTTTACAACAGACAGAATTAAATGTCGTTCGAGGATGTGTGTGGGGGTGTTCCACCCCCCAGTCGTCAGGAATTCGGCAAAATTGTTATCCATTTGGCGAAAGGTGAAACGGAAAGCATTACTTATGGAATTTTTGGCGAGAAATTACGGAGGAATTGTGCCTAAATAATTGCTCATATCTCGTCCTGGCAAAGCGGGATCATATAAACAGCCCCTTATTCAGCGAATTGTGCATGCTGCCTTTGATCCCTTGGGGGTGAGGCAGCATTTTCCTTGCGATAGTAACTTCTAGTTATAGAATCTAACAGCAAACAACAAATCAGAATGCCGCGTTCGTGGGCGAACGCGGAAAGTACAAAATACCGGGCCTTGCTTGCAGGCCCATTATCAAGTTCCCTTGAGCCTGCTCCCTTGGGCCTGCACGCCGGCTACTTCCACGCTCGTAAGGGGGATAATGAGGGATACACGAAGATTCAAGCTGGGCGACGGCGAGCGGGAAGAACCTCTGGAACACTTCTATGGCTTTTACTGTTTTAACTGTCACATGTCAATCAAACGTTAGCCAATAGGACACGTATTTATTTTTGACTGATGATGATTTGGGCGTGTTCAACCGAACATTTGAGCGATGGAAATTGCGACAGAATGTGTCAATTTCAAAACAAAAAATTAAAATTAGCGAGTCTTTATAGTAAAATAAACCGAATAATATTATATGGCCACATGGCATTAGACCGTACACCTGTTAAAAGTGTTACAAAAAAGCGGAGACGAGAATTGTCGAGTTTGTGATGAATTTGTTATTCACAGTGGGTATTTTAGTCCCCGAGCCGACGGCGCGAAGCGCCGTGCGAGTGTACTAATTCCCCCCGGTTATTTACACCCGGGGAAACGAAAGCATTAGCGGAGTCTAAAGTTCATCAAACATCGCGGGCGTGGCTCACCAACGATGTTTCGGTGGGTGGTCATCCTCACTGATCTCAAAATATGTGGCGGACTGTCATGAATAGCGAAAACTGATTGGTCCAATTTAAAGTTTGCATTATAACGACTGCATGACGACAACGAAATAGCAAACATTTCTTGATATGATGATTGATAAATTTCTTGCAAATATCACAAATATATTTCATTTTCGCTCGCACTTTTGCAAGATTTTGTAAATTTCAAGAAAGAAAGGGCGAAAGAATCTGCTAAAAGAAGTGAGCCGACGTTAACGAAGGTAAGTTTGTTTTAAATATTGCATATTATTTCAGTGTATCTTTAGTAATATTGATTCCCTTTTTTATGATATTGAATTTTTTAAATAAAAAAGAAAGCAGAGTTATTTGCAAGCGAGAATTTGAAGTCATTTTATTGCAAACTCAAAGTTTATCGATAAAGCCGTTTTAAAAGGCAGTTTAATTTTTAAAGAACACTAGTGACTTTAAAACGTTTTGCGAAGCGTTTGTGGTTGAATTTTACCTTAAATTGAGGCTTATATTACGTATAATAACATACCTAACATATATATGTTGGGGAATTAATACTTTTGTAATTAAAAGTGATATTTTTTAGGCGATTTTTCATTTGTAAGAATATTCTTAAAAAATTATCGTGTTACACGGCAAAAAACGCTCAGGTTGATGCAATACTGATGAAAACAGGATTGAACAATGTTTTGCTGCCCACATTGTTCATAGCTGTCAACAACATTGAACAATATTGTTACACCCGATTCATGTTCAACAACATTGTTCAATATTGTTGACAAGTGTGAACAACGTGGGCAGCAAAACAATGTTCAGCAAAACATTGTTCATGTTCGGAAAATACAATGGTTTTGTCTGTTTGTCAGCAAGGCGAGGGTTTCTGCATGCATGTATTTTCTAGTATATACAGTAAAAGGATCGTCGCCTCGGTAGATTGAACTTTGAAGCATTTCTTGTTCATCACAAATACAAACGAATATTTGCCGTCCAAGGCCCTGCCGGCTTATATGGAGGCGAGTTACTCTGCAATTGGCGAATAAAACTTATCTAATGATTCGTATGAATTTTTGAACAATATAATTATTATATTTCAAATGCAAAGCACATACATTTATACACATACATTTGATCTCGGGCGGCCGAGTTAACGAATACCCGAACATCTTTTGTTTAATATGGTAACTATTCATCTCGCCGAAGGCAATATCTCGCCTCTTTCTGCCGGGAACTCGTCACTGGCGAGTTTATACTCGGCTGCATCGTCATGTAAACAGTCCCCCGGGTTTACTACTACGTACTGTATAAGTTTCTATAATATAGCCGGGATCTTGTCGTTGACGAGTATAAACTCGACTTGCCGGGTAATTCGCCTCGATATAAAT